GTTACCACCAGTGGCTGCTACTGTATGGTTGAAGGATTTATTTGTTGCTTTTTATGAACAGATTTCCTTAATTTTGAGTTACATGACTTACTGCAAAAGATTACTATTAAATATTACATAAATTTAATTAATTAAAAGAATATAAACAAATTATTTGAATTTCAATTATTAAACTGTGACACCAGGTTGATAGTCAAAACCTCAACTGGCCCCTGAACTACAGTAACTGCGCCCACTGAAAATTCATCTGTGCATTAAAAGTAACAACTGCTCATCTATCATTTTCTTTCTAATGTACACAGTTTATTATTGTACTTATTTACTGAACAGCTCTTAATCATATGGATAGTTTGTCTACATGCATATTTACCTAATTAATAATTCAATGTACAGTACAGTACGGATATCTTATGCTTATTGTTTTACTAGAGCAACTGTGCCTGGATCAAGTTTCTATGATGATTATAAATTCTGAACATTATGTATTAAAAATGTTACCACCAGCTGCTATGGTTGAAGGATTTGTTGCTTGTCATTTGTTGCTTTTTATAAACAGATTTCCTTAATTTTGATTTATATGACTTGGTTGGAAAAGTTTACTTTTATAATTACATCAATTTAATTATTAAAAGAAAACAGATTACTGTATTTGAATTTTAATTATTTTCTTTTTTCCAAACTAGTAGTTTTAAAATTCGTGTAAACAATTAAGAGTACTTGTTTATAATATAACTAATGACTATTTACCATAATTGTTTACTGTATACATACTTTTACTTAAACTACAGTGTTGTTTTTCATTTTATTTTTGTTTATGTTTATCTACAGCCTCTGTTTTTACTGAAGAAATTAAATTGGTTGTCGGTGGGTGGTCGTTACTCTAATGACGTCAAGAGTTCTGAGATAGTGGTGCATTAATAGTGAAAGTTCGATCAACACAAAATTGTAGGATTAGCAAATTACTTTGGCTATAGTTTATCATATGAAAGATAGTACAGCCAATTTATTTTTGTGGTTGAAACTGCACACTGTGAGGGTAAAAGGGAATTTTCTTTCTTCACTCTGCTAGTATCTTTTGCAAGGCTTTGGTGAATACTTGTGGCCTTTTTTATCCGAAACCCACCAATGTATAATTAATTATCACCATACAATACCGATACTTGTTATAAATGTACGATTTGCTTCTATAAGATATTACCAGTGTTAAAATTATTGAAATGCATTTTTTCTATAGTGTTTATGTTTACGTTTGAACATTGCACAAAAGACTAAACATGTCCGTCACTGCTGGGTCTATTTTTAGAATACGCCTATTAATTCATACTATTGGTTTTGATAAGAAATGACTTTTACTGTAAGTGTAAGTATATTATACTTCTTAACCTAAAAATGTAAAACTATATGCAAACCTCTAATGGGATATAAATAAATTTTATACAAAGTGTAGAAAATGTAATAGAAATTGGGCCAGTGACCTAGATTTTGAGTCTCATTTGGTTTATTTTCATTGTAGTAAAGGATTTCTGATTTCTTGGTATACCATAGATCAGATCAGTCAACCTGAAATCATTGTTCTCATCATTCAACCTTTGTGTATAATCATATTTATTCAGTTACAATTTTAGGTTTACATGTCACAATATTGTTTGCCAGTCCATTGACCTTTTTGATTGCCTTCTGTAATAGTACATTATGGTTCTCCATTAGTTGATTAACACTATAAAAAACATACAACACTATACAAAGTGTTTGTTATTGTTTTCACTACAAGTATAGTACAAGAGCACCATCAACAATCACAACCCATTTTTGTGGGAAAATGGAGAAGGGACGGGAAAAGGGAGTGAGAAAGGAGGAGTTCATCTCTCTATATTATAGTAGTAGATGCCAACCTTCCAATAATCATAATTCAGTTTTTGTGTATTTTACAGATTAACAAAAAAAACTTGTAGTAAATTGTAGTGGTGGGGTCTATCATCATACAGTTTTATATGAACAGTGTCTGTTGTTTAAATGACGAGGAACATATGTTAGCTGATAATGCTACATTAATGTACAGTTAATATAAATTTATGCACATATTACCAAATTTCTATTCTTTGCATAGATCCTACAATTGGTTGGTGACCAGTAGAAAGCTTTTCATAGTAAATCCATCAATCATAGAAAAGTACATTTCTTTGGTTTGTTTCTCATTGGAAGCTGATTTGATACTATTTGAGCAACTGTGTTTATAGAAATCTATATCTTTCAGTCCTGTCAAATATACACTAGATATGCAATGGTGGTATAAAACCCTGGAGAACATTCACACAATGTATTGTAAGCAATTGATTTACCAGCTGCATAGTAAGTTTTTAACATGATTTATTTTCTTTACAGCTTAACGTATTAGAAAATAGGAGGACTGCTGAGCCTTGTGTATTTCTTATTGATTTTCTTTCATGCCTCGTTGGTCTATATACAAGACGGCTTTACTAATGCCCCTTTAATCAACTACCAACAATATTATAATTAGCAAGGAAATCAATATAATCCCAAGAATGACGCTTGGGGGGAAACGATGTATAGTGGGGGGTTAGCAAGTTGAGTGGGGTTTAAAAACATGGTAGAAACCTCGACAATACTGAGTTCTTGATCCCAATTAAAAAACATTTAAGCCTTTCCTTTAATGTTGAATTCAAGCATATTATTTTTTACCTACTGTACATGTAGGCCTTACAGTTAATACTTAGGAGTTTCCTGTGTATATAGCATGTTATTGTAATAGACTAAAATAGCATTCTGATTAGTACTGATAGCATAAAACTGACCGTAAATACTAACCACATCCTACTAATTTACTGTACAAGACGGTGCTGAGCTGAAGGAACAATTTTAAGGAATGATAGAATCAGGCATAAAAAGAAAATTTGGTTATACTTTTAAATACAGTATATCAAATGTACAGTATGCTAGTAATTCAAACCAATGAAAACCGTGGTTAAGAAACAATTCAGCTAAAAGAATTTGCTAGTTATACTATAACGAATCATAAAGAAATTCTGTTGAATTAACTGTTAAATGTTATTTACTGTAACTAAGAAAACATTAAACTGATTACTTTACAAAATCTAAAAACATGTATACACTCCTTTTTTTCGGCTGAACAACATATCTTTAAAATGCATACCTTATTACCTTTATAAGCAAACATGTACAACATAAAGATAATTAATTCTTTAGACAAATATATACAGTAACAATCATTCATTCGTACAGCATATTGTATGGCTCCCTTGCTCAGTTTGAAGCCATTCCCTAGAGCAAACCGGAAGGAGTACAAAAACCACATGAAGTAAACACATGCTGTAAAACAATGCATTTACAACATATCCAGTTATGATAAGCATGATAATTTTTCTGTCCCTTGGATCTGTCATGCAGTGATGATACATGTGTTTGTGATCTTCACAAAGAAACAAGAGGTACTGTTTCACAAAGAAATTCCTAATTGGTTTGGAAAAAAATTTTTTTAATTTGAGTCTATATTGCAAGAAGTGGCGAAATAATTTTCAATTACTTCAAAAATGCGCTCATCAAATAATACGACAGTTCACTTTAACGAGCATTTAATTTAAATTATAAATTATTTAAATTGCAAGCCAACTAAAAATATGGAAGGCTGTCACATGTTAATTTTAGGGACATCTGCAGGGGTGTATCCAGGATTTTTTCTGGGTGGATCGTGATTATAATTTGTTGGACCTTTTCAGTGGCAGACAGGGAAATCGATTACAGCACCACCAGCCTGAAGCGGATGGCAGGCTCAGTTTCAGAATTGCTAGAATTGAAATAGATTACATCACACAACTGGCAATGTCTTTGGACTCATTGCTGGTACCTCATCAATGCTTTTTCATTTATGTCATTGTAAAAAGGCCCTAGAAAAAATATTTTTTGGAAGAAATGTGGACCTTTGAAAAATTTGGGAGGGGGGGGAGAAGCGGCTCTGTCCACACTATTAGTATTAATATTTGTCAAATATAGTAGAATTTGACAGTATGTTGACATGCCTTTATGGTGTGGGAAATTTGAATTGACTAAATTTGGCACCTGTCTAGCCTTTGGAGTTTTTGACACCACCAAACAGAAGGGAACAAAACATTTTATTGTTGCCTCGTCAGGTATGGGTGAATTAGGCAGGAAAAGGCTTATAACACTCTATTCTAGAAAACAGTGGAACAAAATGGGTTTGTTGTAACATCAATAGTAAGGTAAATGGAAATCATGTTAAGGTACTTAAGCAATTAAAATATAGGAAGCAAGTAAACAATCACACATGAATTACTGCTGCACGGTCGGTTAAATCAGTAAACTCAAAAAGAACACTTGATTTAATTTTGGTTTACAACTGGGCATTTGATATCCTTGACCAAAAGTCTCCTCCCATTTGGAGGAAATTTACAAACCAACTAAAGGCAGATTGATATTTCTTATGTTACACTATTTAGGAATTGTGGAGATGCTTGTTAAAACTTATTGAATATACTGTGATATTTTTAGTGGATTTTCTGTTACAATTTGTTTCTATTGTAAAAGTAAGATTATGAAGAAATGCATGGACACTAAAATTATATCAAATCATATTAATTTCTTTACAAAATTATATTACACTAAAAACAAATTGATAAAGTATCAAAGAATAACTTTAATTAACAGATTGCACATAATAATTTAATTAAAATCATGTGTGTCAATTCTGTTATATTGGCCCCCCAAAGTAAGCAAGCTTCCTCTCTAATCTGCCAAAATCACTATCAATAATTCCCACAATTTAGGCTATCACGTTTAACTTTCGCTGAAACTATTCTAAAAAAAAAAATGTAATTTGCAAACCAGATTTAAGTTGTTAAATTATTTTCAGACTGGATTTAGGCCAAATTGCACACAATTTTAAGCAATGTAGCTAAAGGAAAACAGCTAGAGTTTAAGCACAAGCTTGTAGATCAGTAACTTACATCTTTTGGCTGCTTCCTGAGTTTCTTAAACATGGCTGCTCTGGTTTGTATTGGTGGGTTGAGTCACAATCAAAAATTGGTAACAACCGACTGACTACATCGGGCCGTCCAATCAGTTTCTTTGAAAGAAAAATCCTGTACGGTACAAGGGAAAATTTTATTTATTAAAACAGTAATGGGCGATCATGTACACTATGATAGAAAATTAATTTTTTTTTAAATAAAGAATTAACTTGTTAATGGTAAAATATGGAAAATTCTCAAAAATTAATTAACATTTCCGAATGAACATACAGTACTTGCCTTCGTAGACTTAAGCATGAACAAATAAATTACGGCAGCAAACAACCGAAACAAGTATATAAAAGCAGACACATTTACAATGGTACAGTATAAGGCCTAAATTGTTTGTTTGCCCTTTAATGCTGAAAATTGTATAGGAGGGGCGGGTACATAACATTTTTTTTTTTTTAGTTTTTTTTTTCTCCTGTCACCAATATTAAATCCCAATGCTTGCAATTAACCCTGTCTCACTATTTGTTTTTCAAAGGGTATTCATCAGTCTGAAAAATAATAACCCATAATCAATTTTGCAATGAATTTAGGCCTAGAATGGCGTTACCTTACATCAGACACCAAATTTAGGCAACTCTCTTTTGCAAAATGGAGAAAAATAAAGATCACTTTTGAAAGTTGTGAACAAAAAATTGAAAAAAAACCCCATTTTTTTAAAACGCCGCCCCTATTTTTCCATGAGCTAGGGGCGGGCACTGGAGGGCAAACAAACAATTTTTTTTTTTAGGCCTAATGACCATTCAAAAACATTTTTGCCCAGTTTACTGTATAGTATTACTATCAGAAAGAAGTTGGCACATAATTTCAAAAGTTTTTTCCATGATTTTCATCAGATTAGTATAAAATATACCAAATCAAAATTTGCAACTAGGGGGAAGAGAATAACATTCATTAATGAAAATGAAAAGTAATCTCAAATGACAACAATCAACATTTTACAATGCACTCTTACAGCCATCCCATGGAAAAACAACTTAACTGCTTTTATATTTTTGTTAAGTTAGGTTGTCTTGGAACAGCCGTCTATTAGGGAAGGAAGGGGATCACCAGAAAAAAAATATGTACTCTCTTCAAGACGATGAAAAAATACTGATGACACCGAAACCCTTTCCAATACAGTACACTTCCTCTACTGACACATCAATCGTCTTAAATCTGGACTCAAGAGACTAAAAGGGGCAGTGAAGCTTCTTTTAAATATTAACTCCAGAGACCGAAAAGGGGTCAGCGAAGCATTAGCAATATGGCTGATCTACTACTAGAATCTACATACAAGCACTTAAACAAAGTGGCAAGACACATCTCCTCACTTGGCCTTCAGACAATGTTTTATATCTACCATATGGTTAGCATCACTTTCTAGTGTTAAAAATGTTGGTTTATCATCAAATCTCACACTTTAAGTAACTGTTGTGTACACCTGAGAGATGTGGATTAAGAGTTATTGAAAGTAAATGTTAAAGTGCAAGTAATTTACAAACACTAAAATTTAATGCTAAAAAACACATGAACAATAATTTCATGACATATAGCAAAGTAGGTTTAACATTGTTAACTGTGATAACTTTTTTGTGTCCTTTTATTTCATCAAACAGATTTCCTTGTTTACATTTTCTTTCACAAGTTTAAACCACTTTCCCATGAGTAGGAGATTCTCTCTGGGTGCAACTCCCAATCCACCATTAGTTCTGCTGCTACCTGACACATTGCATTTTAGCGTGGCAGTCATGGGTTCGGTATGAATACTTTTTAGTAGTTACTAAATAGTAACTTTTTTGACAAAAGAGTCACTTTTACTAACCTTGGAAAACCATTGGGACAAAAGTAGGTAGAGATCCTACCATTCAAACGATTGAGAGATCAACTGAATGCCAGGTGCTACTATATTGTCCTTCAGTATAGTAGTATGAAACTTAACAAAATTGCCCAGAAAATCCTCACTTACCAGAACAGTTGGCCAGAGAAATTATTAAAGATGATCTGCAATGCCATGCACTACGAATGTCTGTATGTATGCAGAATTTTTGAACCACTATAAGTTACTTATAAGAAGCAAACCAGAGTGTACTTGCTACCATCTTCAAGTTATTTCCAATAGGATAAAATAACATATTACAACATTTTCAACATTATTGTGATAATAAAAATGTTGAGTAGACTTCTTGTACATTGTCAAGCAGGGGCAGATTTAGGGGGAGCCGGCCTGGCCCTGGCCCGACCCCCCTTTTGGGAGGGGAAAAAAAAGGGAAAAAAAAGAGAAAAAAGAAAGAAAAAGCCCAGAACACCACAAATGTTATTTTCGGGCATTTAGAACACACAAATTTTGCGGGGATTTCCCCCGGACCCCCTACGATAGTGTTATCTCGATCAGCCGAACTTTCGCCCCCCTCCCTTTTAAACATCTCTGGATCCGCTCCTGTTAAGTTTGGTCTTATAAATAAGAAGTTAAATCAAAGAGGTAATTTTAAAAGACACATAAATTATAAGAACTATAGTTCCTATAATTTATGCATTTTCTTATTTTTCTGATTTATAGATCATAATAAAAGATTAGCTGTTAAGCTTCTTTTTCTATTTTTAATGAAAAAAAGATTAGCTGTTAAGCTTCTTTTTCTATTTTTAATGAAAAAAAATCTTTATAACAAATAAGCTATTCAAATATTCTACTTTTTTTTCATTTTATTTATTTAACGGAAGATCTAATAAATTACTTTAATATATATATATATATCCAATAATTTTTTTTATTGGGCCTTATGGAGATATCCTAAAATATATGCAAAATTTAATTAACATTGAATTTCTCATTTACAAACAATCAGATATGAATGACATAAAACAAAGGCCTTTTTGTTCAAGTGGATTTGAGTCTTTTGTTATGGAATTTGGTGTTATAATTTCCATAATAATAATAATAATAATTTTGGCTTATATAGCGCATTATGCTAAAGCCTCAATGCGCTTAACAGTAAAAATAGAATTCGGGAAAAAAAAAAAAAAATAATAGATTGATGAGACACTGAATGTAATATAATTCATACAGTATTTTGCATATATACAGCTTCTTCATATCAAATCGTAAATGAAATCTGGTCTAAATATTATACATAGGGCAAAGTAGATGGATGCTAATGCTATCCTAGCGAAATGCACAAATCTGTAGCAGCACCATTTTTTGTTAACATTATGAAAACAGATGAATAAATAAAGATGTACTTACTTTATTATTCTATATATTTTTTGACTTGGATATATAAAGCAAACATACTGAATTCCAAAATACGAGCAACAACCACACTAATTATACCTTGAAACTCCTATTTGGAATAAAAATTCATGCAACAATGGAGGTATAAAATATAACTTATGCTTTCACGGTTGATGGTACGGTAGATGGCTAGTAGTTAAGCAGGTAAATGAAAATTTACCTACGACTGTAAGGTGTGCACTGAAAAAGTCAAGCAGGGACGGATTTTAAGTGAGGCCGAGCCAGCCCTAGCCCCTTTTGGAAAGTAAATAAAAAGAAGGGGGGAAAAAAAGAAAGAAATTATGATCGCCCAAATTGCTTCAAAAGTTATAATTCTAGGCGTCTGGAATCTCTAGATAGTGATGTCTCTCGATTGCTAACCCCCTGCCCCACCCTTTTATAACTCTTCGGACATCTCTGATTCCGCCCCCTGTCAAGGATTCTAATTTTACTAGGCCAGGCAGAAAATTTGGTATCTGAACCTCTACAAATTATTAATGGGTTATATGATAATGTGGCCCTATTTGAGTAACTTACTGTAGAACTACTTACTGTACTGTATAAACTATATAAATCTTTTCATTTATCTATACATCTATTGATCTATTGATGGATTAATTTTTTTTTTTTAAACCAAAAAATAAATATTAATAGCAAGCTAGCAAATGTCCCAGAACCAGATATTGGTTTCATCCAGCGGAATCATGACTGAACTTCAGATCAGATCGTCAAACGAAAGGGCAGTACAGTAACATAAAGCTCCTAAGTTCACTGACGTCGTTTTTTTTCAGGTCTTCTTACATGATTAAAGAGGTCCTCCCAGACTATTTTGATTGGCATGAACTACAACTGAAACTCTATTGGGATTAGGTTTAGCTGATTCATTTTTACGAGCACATAGCTTTCATTTTGGGTGTTTAGGCAAAGCGTAACATACACAATCTTGCTGGAAGAATGCACAATGTCAATTTTTGTACTGCAGACACACCAACAATGATATCAAATTCCCAAGGAAGAAGACAAGAAGTTATATAAGACATTCCAAAATCAAAATGTATAGAGAAAAGCAAATTTATAATTTTTTTTTTTTTTTTGTAAAATAACAATTCACAATGGAGAATGCATTTCAAGGCATGCTACTACTTAAGGAAAGTAGGGAATAGATTTTCCCTTTTCCCAACATCAGTAAATCTTATCATTGGCAATTCTCATTTTAATACTATCCAGTTAAGTCCAACCCAGGCCTGTAACTAAGTTCATGTGAAGGGGTGGGGGCTTCCTATATGCCAAGTTTAACTCATAAATGTTTCCTTAATAGAAAAAGGTAATGATAAAATACCACTACACTAACTGTTCAAAAAGTGGGATTCAGCAAAACCCCCAAAAATCATTTTGGTTACAGGCCTGAAACACACAATATAAATTATGAAATGAGTATGGTTCCAACATGTTCTAGTGCAAAAGATACCATGATTAAAGTTTTCAGGTTGAGGTCAGACCAGCTCCAGCAATCAACACCTCAGATTTGAGTATATAAGATTGTCAGAATACAAGGTGTATTTTCTATTATGATTTATTCACCATGAGACCTCTGAAGCTTAAAAGTGAAATCTGTGCAAATAAACAATAATGGGATATCCATTTAGTCACAAAGATAACAATTGGTTATAAAGAACACGATGGACCATTCAGCATCATAATAACCATTGTTGTTGTCACTATTCATCATCACGATCTTCTTCAGCGTCCTGAGTTTGTACGTATAGGGTTGGGTTGTTGTGTAGCTAGCCCAGTTCCAATTCAACCATGGTGAAATATTCTACAACTGCCCCAGTAAGATGGAAACAATCTCCGCAGCATTTGGAGTTACAATAAAAGTGGTTGATCAGTAAACATCTAAAAATCTACAACAGTACCTGCCTAGAGTGGAGAGCCTAGGCCGCACACCACACATTGTTTGACACAGTTGTCAAGCCGCCAAGGTGTTGATGATAGCGAGTAGGCTACATGCCTTGGCTACCTTTCGGGGTGGCCTTACATGTATTTCACCATCATTTTAAATACTCATCCTCAAATGACAACCTAAAACCCACATTGCAAACCTTTCACAACATCAATATTTACTTATAAAAAAGGAAGAGAATTTAAATTTTCTTTGATAAACATGATTAAGAAGACTTACCAAATGAACATGTGTATCTTATCCTCACATAGATTATCACAATTATACCACCACCAGAGAAACAGAAGAGCAAGAAAGAGCACTTCGCGGAAATATCGGATGAGGGCGCTGTTGACATTACACATATGGCTCTGTACACAGCCAGTACACAGCGATATGATACCGTTAATAGTCATTTCAACAACATGGCAAAATTAAATTGTATTCAATTCAATTTAATGGCTATCACTTTCGTAAGAGCTGGACAATACCTCACGGTGTATCCGAATATAAGAAAAAAGTTAAACTAGAAGTAAATTCAACTAAAATAAAATGTATATACAAAGTAAAACTTATTACATTATTGGTTATTTAAAAAAACCCCGAAAGATAAAGAAGGATAAAAGTCGCAATCAATCAACATTGCATGTGGTAGTTTTAGAGTACCGTATTATTTACAAATTTGCAGCCACGTTAGTTAATGTATTTCTACTTAAAAAATTACAATGTATAGGCCCCTATATTTCAAATTAAAATATAGAGCTTAGAAATAAATTATCATATAATTATGTTCATAATTATTATCAAATTAAAAAGGAAAACAAAAACTAAGTAAAGTGTAATGGGTAGTAATCTGACCATGAATTTATTTCGGATCTTAATTTCCATGCGCCTTCGAGAAATACTTTACAATAATTACTGTATCAGATATTGCTGCTAATTTATGGTTACCAATTTGGTCGAAAGATTATCGAGAAATGGTGTTTATAATCTAAAAATCCAGTTATAAAAGTTCCCAAAATTCACCTAATCCCCATTTAACAAGATAATTTTTTCAAATCATTAAAAGCCTTTTCTCTAAATGCCTGGATTTTATCACAAATAAATTAAAAAAATGGTCGGCTGTTACTTTTTAAATTGTGGGAGCATAATTTACAAAAACCATCGTTTTCATCCATGTTTTTAGTCTGTTAAAAAATTGTATCATGAAATTATTTTAAATTGAATCAATTGATTGCCAGCCTAGATCTCCATACAAGTCGTCTTAAGTTACATTTCGTGGTGCACACATGATAGTTTAAGCCATTTGATATTTTTAACTTTTCTAATGTAATTATTTGAATGTTTCGATATTTCTATATGTATTTTTAATTTTGAATTAATTGACGTTTTTGAAATTTAATTATAATAATATGGTGTATATATATATATATATATATATATATATATATATATATTTGATATATATATATATATATTTTTGTAATATGATATAAATTTTTAACTTTTCTACTTGAATTATTTGAATGTTTTGATATTTCGATATGTATTTTTCCACCTTGTGACTTGTTTTCCTATGTTGTCTTTATTTGTTGATTGTAAACAAACGTTTTCAGCCTTTGGCTGTTGTTTTGTTTTGTGTGTTATACCTTAATAAATAAATAAATAAAAATATTGGAGATTGTCTAGTTTTGCAGTGTTGATTGATCCGATAGGCAATACATGTACGGTACTTGATGGTTCCGTTACAGTCAGTGGCGGCGCCAGGATTTCCCCGATGGAGGGTCTAAGGTCCCCGACGGGAGGGCTTATGTCCTCGACGAGAAAAATGTGGGTGTGGTCGGGCGTCGCTAAAAACCTTTCGAAAGTGGTCCAAGGGACGTAGACCCCCGAAAATATGACAATTTATGGGTTTCAAAGGCTTATTTAATCGATTTTAGAGTCTATTAATATGTACAAAATACATACAAAATTTTTGAATTTTTTTTTCTCCCCAACGGGGGGTGGTGGGTCTTGAAGGTAGACCAAATACTTTAATCTTGAAGGTAGACCAAATACTTTATTCGTCGAACATAATATTTTATACAAACCCCAAGATAATAGATGGACCACCAACAGCCGAATGACACCCAAGTATATGGAAAAGAAAAAGAGGAAAACGAAAACCAAGATGGAGAGATGATCTAAGTACAACAACTGGCTGAGAATATCGGGGATTAGAAACAAATTGAAGGCTTTGGAGTAGGGATACGTCCTGCAGTGGACTGCTAGATCCTAAGGTAAGGTAAGGTCGTATTTTGTAACATCAGTTTTGAAATGTTTAAGCCTCGGAGAGTTATTGTGACAGTCGCACGGCAAAATACTACAAACAATAGACAAGCGTTTAGCGGTTCATTGAAATTTATGTTAATTTCAACCAATTCAGTGATATCACTAAAATGACGAAACTGTATTACATTATTGGGAAACGAATCTTTTCAACTTAAAGTCTGCAGAGAATCATGGTATTTGCAGAACAATATTGAACTTCCTATTTTACAATTTAAATATATAGTGACATACCATTTTCATTCCTGATAGAAAATGAATTGGATATAGATACCCTACCCCACCAGCTTGTGTTAAAAAAAATGCCATATTTGGTCAAATCTAAAAATGAAAACCTCCTAAAATAATGAAAAACTGAATCTCTTATTTTAAACTCAAAACCGATAAAAAATCACTTATTTTAAAACTCGACAGCTTTTTTGCCCGGTATATCACCTATGCTGTCGACACTGATTAAAACATTATGTTAAAACAAAATGACACAGTATAGGCCTATTAAGAAATATTTATGTGTTCTAAATAAAAAATTCTCGCATTTCAACTAACTAGGAATACCCTCAGATAAACATCTCGGGGGTTTTTAGGGGTATCACTGAGGCGCACCCCCAGTTGCTCCCGCCTCCCCCACCGCTAAATGAAATCATGGTCATCAAATCGATTTATTGCGAGCTGGCACCCCTCACCTAATCATCGAACACACACCTCACTTCACCGTCACTCCCCACCCCATCAGCATCTCCCTCCATTTCATGATTCCACGTCACTGTCGATAAATTGATATAAATAATGAGAAGACAACACTTTGCAGAGAAACTTATGAAAATCGTTCGGGAACCAGCACGGGAAAAACATTTGATGAGGGCTCCATCACAGATTTTCCGGAAGCTCAAATGCTAGTTTGTGGCGTTTGACTATCAGTGTTTGGTTCTCACTAATCTGAAACGCGTTTGCACTTACATGTAAAGTCGTGTATCGCCATCTCATACACATTGAAAGTAAATCAAAAAAATACAGGTAATAGAAGTAACTTTGCTTTTTAAGAAAATTATTACTGCTTTTTTTTTTTTTTTTGAGAAAGTAGCGCTTTTTTAATGACTAACCCATTTATTTATTTATTCATTACAAGTTTGTCACTATAAATTAAAAATATATTTACCAGGGGCGTGACTAGAGATGACATGGGCTAAAGCCCAAAACACCAAGTGATCATCTCTAAATCCATGATGATCAGTAACAAATTCAATAAACTATAACAATGATATATTATATCAAGTCAAGCTTCCACCCAATCAATGGATCTTTGGACACCTGAGATGAACTTGGCCAGCCACCGATTCAGATAAAGATCCATCGATTGGAGTGAAGGCATGTGAATAAAATAATTGGTTAGTAAATACAATGCTACCACCGCCGGGCCTCCTTCGGGGTCCAGAGGTGGAGTCCTGGTGGGGGTCCAGGGGGAGAGGGCCCTGGCGCTCCGACGCACAGTGGGCCAGAATGAAGTCAAAGTGTGCCAAAATTCATTACCCATTACAGAAGCTAATCTAAACGAATATAAGACTTATCTGGAGGTTTGCATACCCGTAGATTTCAATAAAAGCATTTTCAAATCTATATGACGTCATTTATGACGTCATTTTTGTACTGTTTTCTGATTGGACGATGTCAGTTCTCATTGCAATACCAAAACAAGTTCATATTGCAATGATTTTTTAAAAGTTTAGGGAGGTTTGGGACAAAGGAACTTCTGTGGGAAACTTTTTGTATTTTCTATGACGTAATCAAAATACATTTTTCTGATTGGACCGGGCCAAAAGTGTTTTAGGCATAGGCCAACATTAAAATTTCTATTGTTAATCTTACAGTAAATATAAATGCTTTTTTAAAAATAAATCAAAATTGAAATCGAAATTAAAATTCATAATAATATACCAGACAGCCTAATTTTACATTTTTTAAATGTAAAATGTGTTTGCATCTGAGATTTCATGGAATTGTCAGACATTAAGCCTACACCAATGTCATGATATATTAATTCCGTCCTCAATCATGTTTGGCCTATATTGTAAAAGTATCGATAATGGTAGTTTTATGTTTTTTTTGATAATTCTCAGTGCAGTGTGAACAAAGAGGCTTTAAAAAGGAACTTTTGCTGTCCTCTTTGACAGGTATACTGTACTACCAGGATAGCAATGCTTTTTTGTACTCTTATTTTGGTGTAAGGAGGAGTCTCATTTTATTATGGAGCTACAAAGATGGACAATGTTTCATCTGTCGTGAAAGATTCCGGTTTGCGCCTCAGGGGTGACTTCAGAATTCGTCGGGGAGAAATAAAATGTGTATGTATTTTCTACACAAGTAGACTTTAATATCGATTCTTCTTGAACGCCCCTTGCAATGCTGCATAAAGAAGTTCAGTGCGTACATTTATGTCAACATCAACTGTCAACATCTCTTGTACTTTACTCTTGTGCGAACTCTCTGAAAGATCCTCTCATACTTCGTTAGGACGTCCCGGTTTGGGTTGTTTTTAAGTCTCTTGTGGGTTTTCTGGTGGTGTGGAAAGAATGTTTCTGTTCTGTGTCAAAACATTAATAACTTTATTCGAAAATGTTGTCAAGCCACGAGTTATTTTTTTAGAAACCCGGCAAACACGTGTTTACGTTCTAATAACGTTCGTGGCGAACGTTGTGGTTAGGTATGTCAAAAAATAACGTTTACACAACGTTGTAGGAACGTGCAAAAGTTTTGAAATTATGTTCAGTACGTATTTATGGTTCTACAAAATCAAGTTTTCAACACAAAACTGTAACGTTATTGTCACGTTATCATAACATAGTATTGTTTGTTGGGAAGGTCGTTACTACTCGCGTAGTACCGGTAGCTCATCTCTTCTTAAGTTGAAACAGGAAGCTTTTCAAAGTCTTGGGTGTCTTTGAACAAAGTTAAAAACAATTGACGCCTAGATATAGGCCTGCTGTAGATATTCATCTTCATTATGATATATATTTGGATTATTAGGCTGCTCAAAATTTAATAAAGTATTCTAAATAGCAACAAAATATTACAAGATTGGCTACTGTTAAATCACGAGCAGTTTGTCAATTTTTGGAGTGTTTTCCCTACGCTTTGCATGAACTGGTTGAGTAGAAGTACGTACATCCCTAGTGATTGTGGTTTGCTCTAATTAAACTGTGTCTCAAATGTGCGAAAACAAGACTGATAAAAGTGCATCTAGCTCGCAAAGTTGCAAAAAGTAGCAGCTAAATTTGGTACCATCATAAAGCTAAGGCTATACTGAAGATGGTGATGTAAAAATTAAAGCATGAATCCACATGAATCTAAATTTTCTCTCCTATTTTTCTAAAAATAGGTTTTTAAATATTTTTTTCTGCCGTTTAAACAACGATTTATTATTGATGCAAACTTCAAATTTAAACCAAAACATATATTTTTGTTCCCCAATTTATATACAAGAAACGTGTACATTTTAAAGTAATTCCGAATTTTCTGTAAGAAAAAAAACGTGTTTTGATATAATATAGTCAATTATAGCATTTGAAATATTTATAGAGAAATTTCCGACATTTGTTGAAAAATACCACCCTTAAAATTCGTTTAAATGTAAAATATTTTCAGGATAGATTCACCAGGGTATACCCTTCTTCAATCATGTGAAAAAAAGTGTAAAAGCCATAGTCACCAAAATGGACATTTGGCAAACTTTGATTTCGCCCTGGCCCACTGTGCGACGCCCTCCTAAGCATTTTAAAGCTCTTTTAAATCGACAGGGAGTTTCTGTTGACAAAGCAGTTACGGTAAGTAACAAAAAAATTAAAATGTTAAAGCCACGTAGAATTTGAGTTAATGTATATAGGCCTACATTATGTTTAATTTGAGCACTTGAACTATGTACACAAACATTTCATTTCTTAAACAAACAAAAATGAATAGGCATGGCCTGATAAATTTTTAGTAACGCGTCAGTGAATTAGGTATTCACGTAGGGTCTGTCTAACTCAAGCACTGCATGACAGTTTTTATATTTTAATAAAACCAATTTCTTTTAATTTTAAATGCATTTCCCCTGAATTCGTGATAATTCGTTACTTTTGTTACGCTAAATGCCTGAAAGGGTCGCGCCTCCACTCGACAGTGATTGATTTTACTTTGGGGTGTCCTGTCTCTTGTTTTTTTTGTACTTTTGTGATTGTTCTTCAAGTTTGCCGTTTCTGTTAATGTACATTTTAATTGTTTGGGACAAATGAATGAAATGAAATAAAAATTTATTATCATGCATGTGTTTCTGCAAAATGCGTGTTTAACCAAAATCATTTTGAAATGCGGGACCGTCCCGCACGATGCCAGACGGTTGGTAACTATGCTGTACTGTAATAAAGTTACAAATATAATAAATACAAATATAATAACTGGAAACATTGTAAAGCGTTAAAATATAATATAGCCTTTTTTTGAAACATCATGGATTGGATATAAGTGGATGGATGATGGATGGCATGATGGCATGATGCCTGGTGACGTGAATGAATGAATGAATAATACACTGTACCGGTACTGTAAATAAAAATAAAAATATAATAAAACTAAATAAATATTTTATCACAAAGGAAAATCAACAGTTGCTGGGGAAATATAGGCATATACAGTGGCGTAGAAACGTATTTTTTTATTGGGGGTGGGGATGATTGAAAATTCTTGGAATTGACATAAAATTACTGATGTCGTACACACCCTTCTGTGTGAAAATGTGGCTTGCTTCAAGCACAGGGCTTAGATTGATACCAGATAAAATAAATTTGTTATCAAAATTAATACATTATGCTAATTTTCATCTTTGTAAGCGCATAAGACATTGCAAATTATTTCTGTGACAGTCTTTTGAAGTGTGTGAAGCTCCATTTTATCCCATACATAGTCAAAATATTGGGAGGGGGATGATGCAATGGACCATCCCCCCCTTGTCAAATATTGGGGGGATGTATCCCCCATCCCCCCGGGATCTACGCCTATGGGCATATAAGCATATAATTATTACTGTTCTCGGCGGCCAAACTTTGCGTCGCACAAGTCAACGCGTTTCGGATTGTTTTGAGACTTTCCAAACCACACAGAAATGGTAAAGCACAGAACCTATAAATTAATGACGTCATTTTAAAATACCAGTATTTGAGGTTTAGGTAAAAGTGCTTCTTCCGTGTTCGGTTCTGGGGTCTGTGTGGGTTGTTCCTCATTTTCCTTCTTTTTCATAGTCTGATTTAACATTTTTTGGCTAGAGTTAAGGATGTTAATCATATAATGATATATGCCGTATGATGGTGTTGTTACAGAGGAGGACGTTGCTTACTAGGCTACTAGGCTTGTTGTTATTCTTCTAGCCTACTCCTATTACCAGGCCTGCTTGCTACTACCAACCCTGCGGAGCAGCAGCATTCCAGCTGTCCTCGTTGCACGGCCTACTCAATCAGGTAGACACTATCTTCTATTAAACAACTACACATTAAACACGACTTACCAGATCAAGTGTGGCCTATCACATGCTCGATCGTTACGACGGTATTTATCATAAAGCTTTTTTGTTACCGACCAGGATATGATTTGCATCGATTTTTAAAATAAAATAGACAAATTTTACTATTATTACTTAGTGCCAATGATAGAGTCAGGGCCAAGCAACAACGACGAAGGAGGGTGCACTTAAGTGGCGGTGAACGACATGTTCTGATTGTACATCATTGGATTTGAAATATGGTATGGTTTTATTTGTAAATGAATTTGGTAGTTGGCCCTGCTGGCTTGCAATCTTTGGGTGAGTGTATCCAGCTCAACAAAAAGAAAGACTGTTATCCTGCATTGTATATAATAGGCCTATGCACAACACGTTTTAGAAAATTATGGTCGAGACCTATAATATTTCTGAAAACTGACATTTATAAATTTTAACCAAAGAAATTAACATTAGTGGTAAGCCCACCCCTACGATTTCTTCAGTATCAATGATGGAATACATTTGGCCTGTACTATGTTTACTACTTTGGACTTGCATTTGTGAATCAGTTTTGTTTGTGAATGAGTACGCAGTTCATATTGATGGAGGTCTTGAGACGGCAAATTCTGTTGCTGCAAAATATGGCTTCATCAATCTTGGAGAGGTAGGTTGTCCTTGCATTAAGAAATTGAGAATGTTTATGCAGTAAATTAAAAATAATTGTACATATTTTAACCAACCTTGTGCACTTCATTAATTGTATTTTATTGAGACAAAATGTAGACTAAAATACTGTACACAGGTGGAAATTATAGTACACAAAATTTCTTTAAAAATCAGACCTTATTTTTAAAATGCATGAATAGATTTTCTATTTTTTTTGCATGGGAATATACCATGTCCAGGCCATTCTATTACTGTACTGTACTGTTATTCAGCCTGGGTCTTTCCAAATGCTTTTGAAATGATTGTTTCAGAATAGCTAACTAAATCAAAAAAATTGTGAACACTTCTGTTTTGATATATGACCAGAATCCTTCAATAATTATGTGAGAATTTGTACGAAATTTTTCACGTTCTGCAGTTGAGTCATTCTGAAGATCATTTATATCTTCTTAACATCAACGGCTGAGTGGCATTTGGGCACATATCCATTAATCAGAACAAGCATGACATGTCAGAGATGTTATTCATCTCGGTACAACTATTATACTAATTCATGCACCTGTCTCTTATACACATCTAAAATGGCACATTCGTTAAAGTAGATTACAATAACAAATCTGTGGTTTGACATACGTCATAAGATAGTATGAAACAAACTCCAAAAAAGTTCTATCTCATCTTATATTGTCTTACTATCTTATGTCAGATTTTGATAATACTGTATTTATAGTTCGTTGAGATATTAAAATTTTACAAAAATAATAAAAATGATGGTATTACATTTATGCATAAATTGCATTGTAAGAATGCACAATTTTAACACCCTACAATATGTGGGATGTAGAATTTGTGCATTATAATTAAAACATTTGAATAGGAAGAGTGCCTCCATATGGTTTTATTAATTTAATATTATTTATTTGTGAGTGAAACAGTGAGAGAGATACCTGCTGTTGCATACGATTTCCTTACAATTCATTGATAGTAGCCAGTGATAACAGCCATTTAATTAATGATAAATATTGATACAATAAATAAACTCTAAGGTGTTAGGAATCAAACCATCTGCAATAACAATTTATTATTACAACTCGTATAAAAAATGTATGCCCTTTGACTGTGGTTGACTTGACCAATAATATAGTAATTTCAGTATCAAAGTCTAGTTCAATGTCGGATAATCATTTAGAGTTGAGCCAGTGGGTAGATAGAATTTGTACTCATAAATTATAATCTGCCATTTCTATAGAGAGCTGTACATAATACAGTCTTGGTGCGAAGCTGTGCAAACTGTACTGGAGGTACACTGTAATACCGTAAAATCTTGAATAAGCCCAGTGGGCTTAATCTTAAGATGAAGCCCATCTGAAATTGAAACCCCCCTCTTTAGTTTGCAAAATTAGCCTCGAAAAGAAGCCCATCTTGGAAAGAGGCCCATGGGCAAGTAGATTTACATATTGTTGTACATACAGAATACTGAAATAAATTTTGATTATCATATTTCATGTTTTTTTTTATATTGTGTTCATTGTGTGAAACACTGAACTGAAACTAAAATTTTGGCAAAGACAAACCAAACCAGTCACTCGTCGCAAATTGTGTTTCAGAGAAAATAGCAAAAACATGTTTAAATGTAAAATTTTTTAAAATCTATTTTATTTCACTAAACTAAGGTTTATATATTTATACATCATGCTGTGCTGTTATTTTTCCGAATTTCAATGTTAAAACAACACTTTTTAATGATTAATAGTTTCTGCATGGGAAATGCCTACTGTACAATCATAAACTTTGAAGGCTGATTTCTCATATATTGTTCTTTAAACAGCTGTATGCTTAAATGCTTGTAACTTCAGAAGGAAATGTCGGATTTGAACGATTTTCTTACCATTTTATAGCTCTTATTTTACTCTTTAACACTACATTAATAACTCAGAATCGATTTTTGCGAAGAGTGACTGGTTTGGCTTGTCTTTGCTGCAATTACATTGATAAATTGATTTCTGTATAAATTAAAATTAACATGAAATAATGAAAATGTAAAATTACATTGAAGTAGTGAAACCTACTTAAAAGGTAAAAATAAATATACACTGCTTAATTAAAACAGTGCCTGTATTGTAAGTTTTTTTAACTAGTCTACTGTAGTACCAGTACTTCCTGGTTTAACTAACTGTACTGTATTAGTAGTGCACCCGTATTGCATTGTGAAAAGCATTCAGTCAGCTAATCAGTGGTCACAATATGCAAGGTTGTAATTTAGAAAAGATAGCTAGAAAACCAGTTATACGGATTAGGCCTACAATGTTGTAGTAGAAAAAAAAATGGCAATTTTTTTAACAATGTTGAAGATGTAAGAAATTGATTTTATTTAATTTTTCTTATTTTTTCTTTCATAGATTATTGAAAATCACTTTCATTTCGTAGACAGTCGGCCGCGGGAACGCCGTTCACTACATAAAAGTAATGATTATCATGTACAAAAATTAACACAAGATTCACAGGTTTGTATTTTTTGGGCAATATTTATTCAACTGGAAAAAGTATGTTTTTTTTATAATTATATAACAATAATAAACAGTAAGAAAGCAAAAAGCACTTTGAGACTAGTTGAGAGTTTATTAGGGAGCTTTCGATTTGTGCGACGACGCGATGCTAGAACGGAATCACTCATGCGTGACCGTCCTGCCGGGCATCCTGCGTTCTCAGCATGCGTAGATTTGGCCAAATTGTGTCTTGGAATCCATGCGACGAGGAGAACTTAACATGTGCAGATGACTTTTAGTGACGTCATTACGTTCTACGTCCTACAGTAATCCGCAATCGAAAGTTCCTTATCACAAGCTTCCTTCCATATACAGAGTACAGTATCTGTCTCTTATACACATCTAGATGTGTATAAGAGACAGGTCTTACTATCTTATGTCAGATTTTGATAATACTGTATTTATAGTTCGTTGAGATATTAAAATTTTACAAAAATAATAAAAATGATGGTATTACATTTATGCATAAATTGCATTGTAAGAATGCACAATTTTAACACCCTACAATATGTGGGATGTAGAATTTGTGCATTATAATTAAAACATAACAATAGGAAGAGTGCCTCCATATGGTTTTATTAATTTAATATTATTTATTTGTGAGTGAAACAGTGAGAGAGATACCTGCTGTTGCATACGATTTCCTTACAATTCATTGATAGTAGCCAGTGATAACAGCCATTTAATTAATGATAAATATTGATACAATAAACTTCATCAAGTGAATGGTAAGTGGAGTAACATGCAGTTTCTATAGTATAAAAAAAAAAAGGCATCTATAGTAAACGAAAGAGCTAAACAAAAAAACCCAAAAGAAACAAGGATGTCTCGAATTGCCACTTTTTGCTTTCGTAATGTAATCTACAGTATTCGACTAGTAACAGTACATATTATTAAAGAATGGAAGATAATCAATAGTAACTGGGTACGGTAGTTTTATTCATGAATTAATTCCTGAAAATGAACAGATTAATTGTGAAATATTGAATCATAATTTCTTTTATCATATGCTTCAGAGTTCGTTTTATTATTCTCTTACAAATTAAGTGTTGTTTAACAAAAAATAATATTGACCTAGTTACACAATACATGGTGTTGAATAACTGTGTTAGACAAACAGGAGATGAAAATGCTGAGTTTTTCAGGCTCAGGAGGGAAAAAAATCTTAATGAGATATACTGTACAGATTTTTGAATACTATATTTAAAAACTTGGGGGAAAAGTGGAAAAAAAGGGTGGATACGCTCCCTTTACTCCACTCCAGTTTTTAAATATTCAAAAATGTGTGCAGTATCTCATTAAACATGCCAGAGTTTTTTATCAAGTATGCTTTTTGTGTCTTTGAAAAATCAGTTGTACAACATGTATCAATTTTTTTCCCTCTAGACCCTAGCTTTTAGATAAGAAAGTTTATTCAGTGGATTATCTTGAATAATCAGACTATACTTCGGCTGCTGTGAATTAATGAGATTTTTTTGTGCTGAAATATTTTTTTAAGTCCTAAAAATTTACTGTAGTCTTATGAAGGAATGTAATGTAGTTTATCTGAATTCAGTAGATGTACGTTTGTCACCTCTTTAACGACAGCTTTGATAGTTTCAAGTCGTTAAACATACCATATTTATTATGTGAGAATTTGTACGAAATTTTTCACGTTCTGCAGTTGAGTCATTCTGAAGATCATTTATATCTTCTTAACATCAACGGCTGAGTGGCATTTGGGCACATATCCATTAATCAGAACAAGCATGACATGTCAGAGATGTTATTCATCTCGGTACAACTATTATACTAATTCATGCACAGTTTAAACAAGGACTTATAACTGTTTAAAACCAGGATAGGAAGCTGGCTGGTTATAGTCATCTGACTTGAATTAGCCTTATGTGTGGTATTGTTATGCTAATGAGCCAGATAAACACAATCTACACATGCTCAGAAAAACCAAAACTTTTCTTAGGCACACCAAAGAATATATATAGATCTACAGGTATCTATATTCTTTGGCCACACTGCATATCGGCTAGCCTTACAGCTAGGCATTCTAATCTGTTTTGGGTCTTTTTTCTGCATTTTTATAAGCGGTTAGACATGGCCTAGGCCTGGGCCCAAGCTATGGGCTATGTGATTTGTAATACTACAAAACAAAATCACATCAATTTAAAATCAAATTTGTGAAAATACTTGCCTTATATCTTAACTAGCAGGTGATTTTATTGGTAGATTAGTTTGTTTTTAAGTGTGTAAGTATGATTGATTTGCATGCCAAGTGAAATTAGTACCCTTATTTTGCATTGTTTTACCGTACCGTAATTCTCGACTAGGCCTAGCTGTACACCTAGCCGATATGCAGTGTGGCTAAGGAAAGTTTTGTTTTTCTGAGCATGTGCAGTCTGTGCTTATCTGGCTCATTAGCATAACAATACCACACATAAGGCTAATTCAAGTTAGACGGCTTAAACCAGCCAGCTTACTATCCTGGTGACAGTTATAAGTCCTTGGTTCAAGCGTTTGTACAGTTTGCAACTGTGCAAGAAATATCTTGCACCATTTGCAATGGCAGCCAGCACAGTAGGAAAAATGTGTAAGGATTTTTTACTCAACTTGCAAACTTTACAAGAAGAGATTTATGGATTTTGAAACAAATTTTGGAAAATTTTGAGCAAGGCGATGTGGATGGTTTGTCGCTGTTGGGACTTTTAATCGTAAGGTCGGGGTTTTGAGTCTGGGAATAAGTGGCTCGAAATGGCTCCGAAATTTTCTTCCCCTTATATATCCTTTCCTGTGAATTTTTCATCTCCAAATTTATGACCATCTACAGAATAGGATTTGAAACAGCTGCAGCTTGAAAATTGTCGGGTCCTTGTATCTTGACCACTGGACATATTTAAATCAAAAGCGTACTGTGTATTGTATGTACTTATGTATCAGTATTGGCCTAAAGTAATATTTTCTTATTAAGTTATAAATTCATTTAAACTTCATGTTTATTAAAATTGTATAAAAAGTTCTTGCACAGTTTACAAAAACATGCAGTTTACAACAACATTCCTGTAACAAATAATGCAGGCAGCGTAAAACTTTGCAAGATACAGTATCTTGCAATTTTGTCCTGTTGAATTCTGGGCTTCATCAAAAACCAACTACAATTTGCAAACACTATCAAAACTCTTGGATTATTTAAATCATGTTGAGCTCTATTTAAAGTCAGTTATTTCTTCCATTTCATATTACTGTCAGATGTTGAATCATTACATTCCATGTACTCAGTTGACCTTTGGCATATAACCACTAATCAGAATTTTTTAGAGTTTAAAAGTGAAAGTAGTAAATTACAGGCAAACACTTGAATAATAAATAAAATTGCATACTTAAACAATTGATGCCTTTAAGGATGTAAATTTACATACCAGTATGTAAATGTACAATAAGTTATCAAAAAACAACACTGAGATTCTTCCAATTCAATAGGTCTGGTGCAGGTAAAATATTGGTTCCATTCAAAAGATATGAATTTGATTTTTCTAATATATATTTTTAATACCTCCATTCTGATGCCAGATCCTGAAAGTGAGAGTAAAGCTTAGACAGTGGTAGCAATTTTCAGCTTTCTATCATGTTTAGAAATGAAATTATGGCCTTTTAAAAACAGTCAAAATCATTTTGATATTTTGCAGAATGGAAAAGAGGCATGACACATAAAATTGGAAAAGCCATAAATATCAATCCCTTTGGGATATTCTGTTGAAACTTTTCAGCACATCCTTTTTGTGTTTTGCTTAAATTTTCAGTGAAATTTAAAATGGTCACCAGGGTTAAGTCATGGAAACTGGGTGATTTTGTGTGGAATGACTCTGCTATGCATCATACATTTTTTACTAAAACTGTTAAAAACATACCAAAATAATTCCTTGGTGACTCATCATTGATGCCATCACCAAAGTGCATACAATGCACAACGTGCCATCTCTTAAGTGCATACACATAACATGTCATCACATAACATGTCATCTCTTAAATGCATACACATAACATGTTATCATTTAAGTGCATGCATTAGTCATCTATATCATGAGACCTCAACTAGATATATGCATTTTTGATGAGTACTATACTTTTATTACTATTCTGTGAGATATTAGGTAATTATATGGAAAGGAATTTGTGGCACTGTCATACAGTAGAACTTTGATTTTATTGATTTTATTTGTTATAATTGTTTCCACACCAACAGCGATAAATTGTCACGGACATGATGATTAAAATATAACAATATAAATATATATGTAGAATTAAAAATATAAATATTATTGCATTTTTAAGCATAACAAGGATATTTAAAAAAAATATCAATATCGCCATTCTTTAAAACATATGACTTATAAAAAGATGCAGACTAACAAATTTATTTTTCCACAAGCTTTCGACCATGCAGTGATCTTCATCAGGTGAATGATACATTCACCTGGAGATACAGTAGGCTACAGCCTCCACATCACCTCGGGGCAATACATTTCACCATTCCCCTCATGAGCAGTCAGTATTTATATACTATTGGTTTAATAAATGTTTCAAGTTATTATCATTTACTACACTGTTTACCATCAATAACATTTCATTTTTTTTGTCATTTTGCTGAAAATAAGAAAACAAAATTGAATTTTTATTTCTTTTCTGCCCTCTGACGGTCTTTAAAAAAATAAGTTCACTATTAAACAAGGTATTAAACAAATCTTGTCTAATTTTTCATAAAGGTATATTAAAAGATTGTTAATTGCAGCATCACTTATATTTTTAAAATAATTTTGTGCAATATAGATTTATAACCTTTAACATTTAAAGGTCAATTAACAAGTCCGCAGAGGTTTATGGTTATTATTCATTTCATCATTTCATTTATTTATTCGACGAACATTTACAGTTACACAATGACAATAATATACAATGTAAAAAAAAAAAAAAAAAAAAAAATTGAAATGCTGGGCTGGGGTAGCTTAAGCAAAGTACATTGCTATAAATCAGATAAGCCAGCTACCCCTTAAAATAATTAAATAAAACAATTAAATAAATTATAATAGAAAATTACAAATTAGGCCTATTTAAGATTTCATCATATTTACAATATTAAACATATAAGAAAACAGAACAGAAAAACCAAATCGTCAGTCCAAAAGGGGGAAAAAAAAGTCAATAATTCAAATTAAGTAGAATTAAGAAGATTAGAACATAGAGAAGACAAAAATGACACAATGAGTCACCAATTAACTCATACTTAAGATGATCAGGTAGAGTAGTCCATAAACAAGGGAAGATGAAGATTGCAGTGTTAATTATGGTGAAAAGTAAGCATATCTGGGTGTCTAGAATTAACTAGGATACTGTATGTTGAATAACAACTTACTGGTAATACCTTTTATTTATGCTTACCACAGCAACTTCCTTTTTCTCTGTATTCAGAGCGGTAGGAGAAATATTTTAATTACTGTACTACTATGGGTTAAACTGTACATGGGTTACGTTTACATTTACATATTTGCATGAAAATTGTTTTATAAATGGCACACATCACATCAATGGTGCATTTACAGTAAACTATAAAAATCAAAATTGTTAAAACCCAGCAAAATCTAAACAGCACAAAAAAGGACGGTAAGATTAGAAAGAATTGAGAACAGTCTCCCTGTTCAAACTAAATACATGTAAAACACAATTTGTGAAAAAAAGTTTACCATTCCTTGGATAAACTTTAATTTAAGGAAGTATAAACAGAAAATAAAAAGGCAAATTAATACCAGGAAATACTTAATGAAATGAACCACACCAAAATAAGTTATCTACATATTAAACCACATAAAAAAATACTGTGAAAGGTTCTTTAATGTATAGACTTCAAAGGTTTTTTGAAACTTACATGAAAGTAAAAAAACCTAAGAAGAAAAAAAAAAGTTAATGAATCTTTCACAGTATATTCATCTAATGACTAGATGAAATTCTTCCAAGCACATAAATAATGATGATGAGGTACAGAAATGCAATGTACGGGTATAATGAGGCAGAAAAAGGAAATGTGCATTGGCCTACGACAGCATGGCATTGTTATTTCTCTGATGAGGAGTTCTAGTAGTACCCTGCAGATTGTGTGCTTTATTGCTGATTGACTGCATTTTTCAAGGGTTTCAGCAAGTACTGTACATTACTACCAATACCATTTTCATACGTATGAATGACACGTGCCATCCTTGCGACAGTTCCATATGAACTCGTGGCGAAAACCCAATTGTGTATTGTTAATAACTTACGCCACTGTGTACAGTGTTTAAGCATGGAGGATATTTTCTCCATGATTTAAGCATGTTTTAATATATTCTACTGCCTCTATTATACTGCCCTTATTGGAGCTTTTGAGATTACGAGAACTTTTTTATATTGAATTGTTATTTTCATTGCTAACTTGTTTGTTGTGGTAGGTTTAAAGGTTCAGGAAGCTATTCCTATTTTTGTCAACTACAGTAAGCACTGTTTTTAAGAAAATAATACAGTACATGAATTATGAATATAGTAACATCCTTTAACATATTATGCTAAATGACATTTGAGTTGTTCTTATTGTATGTTGTATTAATATGATAGTATTATACAATTTTATCAAATAAAAATAATTATCATGTAAATGTTTTTTTTAAATGTTTTTTTAATGTTACTTTAAAATGGTTATTTTTAGGTGAAGTGGATAGCTCAACAAGAAATACTAGTTCGTAAGAAACGGGGTTATGAAACCGAACCAGGGTTCAATGACCCCAAGTGGCCTAAGCTCTGGTACTTGGTATGTAATGTATGATGTGTAATTTTTTTTTTAAATAAAAAAAAAAATTTTTTAACTAAATTGATCTTGAAAATTATTGTGAAATTGAGACATTTTAAAATCCTTTTTTATATTACATTATTGTGTAATTTTGACACTGTATGAACTTTATCTCATCTCATGTTTTGAAGTTGAAAGCACATAACTATAATAAAAAATCATAATCTAAACATTAAAAACTAGTGATAATTGTACTGCACAGTGGTATATTAGGCCTTGGGTCAAATACACTTTTATTTTGTTATGGAATTTACTTTCTGCTCTAGCATCGAGCAAGTGGTCTTGACATGAATGTCCTACAGGCCTGGAGTAGAGGCTATACCGGAGACGGTGTAGTGGTGACCATTTTAGACGATGGTATTGAACGAATGCATCCTGATCTTTCCATGAACTATGTAAGTTTGTTTCAAAGATAATACTGATATTATTATTACAAATAGATGGTACTTACTGTAGCAATTAATAGTTATAATTATGGATTATTTATTAGTATTGTTAATATGTTTTTATTATTATTATTATTATTATTATTATAATCATTATTGTAGTACTATGCTATTACTAAGAATTCCACGAATTATGAATAAAATTATGTATTACTTTTATTATTATAATGTTAATACTATTTTATATTTCTTCTTGTTAAACAGGTTATCATTACCTCCATATCAATTATTTAAACATAGTTTGACTTTTGAGTGTAATACATTCTATAATATTAATATAATAGAAAGCCTTATTTTCAATATTTTTCAGGATAATATATTTCAGTATTATTATTATAATAATTATTGTTGGTGTTATTATTATTATTATTATCCTCATCATAATCAAATTCATAATTTACAATCAGTCATATAAATATACAACCAACATTAAATATGCTTGTAAGAATATTTTATACTGTTTGTTCGCTTAATACTTCAAAAAAATTTTAGGATGCAGTTTATTCTGCAAGAGTACTTTACTCAAAATGGTTTATAAACATCAAAATTTTTGATGCACATTTCCATTTTCTGGTTGAATTAACACAACTGGATCATGTCATACTGCCACTTAATCTTGTTTTGTTACGAGCCTGTTGCGGGTTTGCACATCAACTGACTGTTAATACTGCCTTCGGGAGATGCATGTAATCATAGCAGTAATATATTTTATTCCCAGAAATGCAAAACCAAATATTCATATTTCAGCTCAGAAGTCTGATTTTATAGGTATTTTATCTGTGATAAAGTCTGAAGAAATATTTAGTGTTCAATTAAAATACTGAATAGCTAATTTTTAAATGAAAGAAGTGTTTTTAAAAGTGAAGAATTCAATATTTGGATCAGACCTGTAAACAATTTTTTTTAGTTCTCCTATTATCATGAAAATTATTATAATGTGCCACTGACACCAAACGTTTGTACACTGAGTGACATATAATTAGCTCAATAGTTCTCTGGAAAAACAATTTACATAAATATCTCGGGGCTCTTATACACATCTAGATGTGTATAAGAGATGTGGGAGGGAGTGTGTGGGATGTGGGAGATGTCTGAAATTGATTTAGAAAAAAAAAAATTTAACTGTTTATTATAAATGTTTTACAATTTTCAGATTTTATCACATGTATATCTTTGATGTTAACATATTTGTTAAAATATATTTTTTTATAATATATATTTATTTAATTTGTATTTTTAAATTTAAAAAAAATGTAATAATGTTTCGATTTTTCTGTAGTTGCTCAAGCATTTTATTCATGAATTAACTTGTGAACTATTAGGCCTAAAAATGGTTTTGTTGCCCAAATCTAGATTTTATTTACTATATCTAGGCATAATTCTGGGGTTTATTAAAAAAAGTCAACCCTAGTTTTTCAAGATTATATGTCATTTGGTCTTGGGCAACTCAGATTTTTTTGGCCTAATATGATTCTTCTGAGTTACTATTTGTTATATACAGTAGATGTTGATTTGCTATATTTTGGATACAACAGCATGCTAAAATGTGTACTGTATATGGTCGTTATTTAATTGTGCCCTATTATTTTATTTACTATATAGATGCATTACCGTATTTATTTGAATAAATGCCCAACTGTGAATACGCTCCCCCTTCCCCCAGATGCTCATTTGGAATAAATGCTTCCCTCGAATAAATGCACCGGGATGTTATTGTTTCTTTGAATAAATGTATGCGCCCCCCTCCCTCCTAAATGACTGTAAACAAAACTAATGAAAGCAACATCATTCTCAACACATTCTATTAATATTCTACTCCAGTAGAATTACATTTTTCTAAAAGTGGTTGGGATCAATAAGTCTTTATGATCATGTATAACACATTTTGGCGCTAACATTTACTTTGAAATGAAGGGCGTTTATTTGAGTATATACAGCACTTTCTATTTTACACCAAAAAAAAAAAAAAAAAAAAAAAAAGCGCCTCCTTTGATTAAATGCCTCCCTTGAATATACGACCCTCGAAAAACCCTTCTCAACAATCAAAGCCCTGGCATGTGTATTTGAATAAATACGGTATTGGAGTGTCTGTTGCTTTGTTTAGCATGATTGTATTCAATTGCTTTCAATTCAATTTGTCCTATGTTATATTGTATAGATGTTCATTTGCTATGTGTGTTATATAGGATCAAGTAGCAAGCTATGATGTAAATGGTGAGGATTCGGATCCAACCCCTAGGTACAATCCGTCCAATGAGAACAGGTCTGACATCACATTCATCTTGTATTTTTTAAAATTTACTTCTATCATTTAAAGGTTGAGATTGGTTTTAAAAAAAATATCAAAACTATCTATGGATAAGGGAAATATAATATTGTACAATAGTAATTGTTCATTATAAAAATATTAATAGTTTTAATAACTACTAATAATAGACATTAAAAAATAATGTAGAAATTAGTAATAATAATACAGTAATAACATAAAAATGGATAATTCGGTGGTAATGGTCATAGAGTACCTTACATTCAAATGTAATTTAGGCTGTTGCAGTTATTTAGTTGTCGAAATGTTATGCTTTCTGCATTATATTGAGCAGCATGCTAGTAATGTCGTATCACAGCATTTATGCATGACTGTAGTGTTGTTTTGTTGCTGAGTATTTGTATATTTTCCTTGCTGACTGGTTTCTAAAGGTAGTCAATATGGGTCTTTTATTCCATTGTATTTTTCCTTTGCATTTGCACAACGTTCCAAAGGATGCAAAAGCTAGTACGGATTTGAATGATCATGACGATTTCCCAGATCCACGAAAGACAGCTAACAATGTCAACAGGTTGGCACAGATTCTTACTCACATTGATGGAATTTAGGTGTGGGGTGGAGTGGTATAACTTTCTGGTTAAGATGTTCACTTTATAAACCTTATATGTATTTATAATTAATAAATATTGTTTACCCTCATAAACATAAACATTAGATAAGATTAAACATTCTATAATTTTTAGAGTGTTACAACATTAGCTATTTAAACAGGTACAATATAATTCTTTATTTGAATATTCATTATGTGGTTCATTTGCATATATAGTATATATATTTTCATACATCTTTATTAATCTTAATAGTATGAATGCAACAACCTGTAGGTCCACTGATAATTTTTAGATAACTTAGTATAAAACATATAAAGTAAATATAAAACAAATAAAGTAAGACTCATCATTGTAATTCAATATTTCGACCTTTTATTAGATCATCATCAGGAATGAATAATATGTCAAAATTGCAAACAGATTCCAGAAGAATTACAGAAAATATATACTGTAATATATTTACTTTTTTCATTGGGAAATTTTCTGTAACTCTTTTTAAATATCTGAATACAACAATATATTGATGAACTGTAATATTATATTTACTGTAACACTACATAAATGTTCAAGTTGCAATGAAATAACATTTTTTAAAAGGGAGAAATGAAACCTATTGTTGATTGATTGCTTGATTAATAGATTATTTTACAGTATTTAAATTAACGTACTAATGTGGCACAGTGGCAAATCTTTGTGCTTTGATTCGAAAGCTTGAGGGGGTTCGAGTTTGAGACTGGTCACTTTAGTGTCCATAGGCTCATTTTCTGTGTCTGTGATTTAAGTGGGTTAATATCTAGTAACAGCTATTAATGTGCCGATAAATAGCTGCACCATTATGGAATACTCACCAGGGGCCAAGTTTTGTTTCGTAGACATTGGATGTTGAGACAATATGTTTTGAATAAACATAATATGGGCCTTGGCCTTATGGACTGTATACACTTAAATATCCATAAATCAAACATGACCTTGTTCAGCAAATAGAGACTCTTTTATTCATATTTATTTATTAGAATATATTAAAAAAAACATCAGATTAAAAGATCTCTTTGCAAAGGATTTTCATCAAGCTCACTAAAATCAATATCTTATAATGTGGGATGGCCACTTACTGTTTTTTAATTCAAATTTATTAGGCATGGAACACGCTGTGCCGGGGAAGTAGCAGCCATTGCAAATAATGGTATATGCAGTGTAGGGGTCGCATACAATGCTGGTATAGGAGGTATGTGCTATTTAAGGAATATTATAATGCTATCAGCATATTTATTAAGGATGTACTGTAGCTTCGCTGAATGTCACAAGATAAGACAATCTCTCTGTATTCTCAAATACATTGCACAAAAAGGTGTTTAATTGCACAATATTCCTGTGTTTAAAAAAACAAAGGAAAGTATTAATATATTTGTTTATTTTACATAGACATGAATAACTAATCTAGGATGTAACTGTTGTGATTGTCGCAAGATAAGGCAATCTGTGCATAGCTTGTCTTCCTGCCTCAAATACATTGCAAAAAAACATGATCAATTGCACAATATCCCTGTGTTAAATGAACAATAGAAAGCAATAATTATTTAAATTATCTGTACTGAATAAGCATTAATAATAAAACAAATACTTAATTATTGAGATTATGATGAGTTGAATGAATGTATGAAAGTGAATTTATTAAAAGTTAATTTTTGTAAATTTAAAATTTGTATTATAGAAAACCAAGCTATCATATTTTTTGTATTATAATTTAAAAATTTTATGATAACTTAGTGGTGATGCAAGGTCAGTGTTAGCCTGGGTTTCAGGCCCTAATTTTGGGTTACTCACTCTTTATTGCACTTAGTGCGCTCCATACCTATTTTAATTGGCGTCCCATACTCGATTTCTTTTTTTTTTTCGGATTAGGGCCTGGGCAAACGATCCATGCGTACGATTTCCCACATCAAATTCGATGTGGGATATTGTATGCATGACTGATTTTGTAAACCACGTGATTGGCTTACTTCATGCATATTAATTAATCTTGGTAAATTTTCAAAATTGAAGATGCGGATGTCTCGACTAGGACAAGCTAACCAGCTCCCTTCTGCCTACCTACTTGAATTAAAACATTTAGTATATAGTTCTGGCCTGCTAAGAATGACTATGGACTGATAACCGTAGTAGGCTATACTTACAGAACCTTGCTCACCGTTAGCTGCTACACAGATTTAGGCCTTTAGGGTAGAATATTGTTAAAAAGGTAGGCCTCTGTAAGTCAGAACTTAAAAATCCTCTACTAGGCTAGAGAATACTACTTCTGACTCCAGAGGCCTGAGCCATCCTCCTGAAAAGTTAAAGTTTTGTTGTATTTGTATGGTATGCCATCTAGTCTAAGCTTAATTTTTTTTTGCCATTGCCAAAATTAGTCTTAAATTATTAAATTATTCTAAATATTTTAGGCCCGTTTTATTAGGGAGGACTATTTTTAGTCATGCTTAACTAGTCGACGCGAGTGACTCAGTTTCGTGGCTCCAAAAATGTGAACATTTGATTGGTTGAAATTGTTTATTTCGGTCCGCCCATTTATCCAAATACGAAATATAAGATTACGTAATTCTTTTGGCATCCTGATGCCTGCATTCAGTGTTTTACAAGTCGTTTATTCCGTCTCTAAATTAACTTTCTCGTTTTTGGCGCTGTCTAGAATGAGAAAAATAATAAAAAATAAGAGACTTGTGGCAAGTCTAGGTCAGTGTAACTAATGTTTTGTTCATGTGTTCTCATTTTGTAATATACTGTAGCTTCTAAACTCTTATAATTTCACTTTTTTCGCAATTGTTTACCTAAAAAAATTTTTTGAAATTAATATCAGATAAAGACTAATGCCATGTTTTCATAAACTTTATCAGGTGTCCGTATGTTGGATGGTCAGGTTACGGATGTTGTGGAGGCCCGATCTCTGAGCCATGCCCCTCAACATGTCGACATCTACAGCTCAAGTTGGGGGCCAGATGATGATGGGAAGACTGTTGATGGTCCAGGCCCACTTGCAAAGAAGGCATTTAAAGATGGCATACAGAAAGTTAGTAGTTGCACATTTATTAATAAAAAGAAATACATAGCAATTGTATGATATTGCAACCGGAAAGTTAGCAGCAACAGAAATTATAATAATGAAGGTTTATAAATTCTAAAATGTTTCTGTAAAGTAATCAATATATACACCATTTTATCAAGTCTGTTTTGAAATAGTGCTGCCAACGTCTCGCAACATTTCACTGGGGGACATCCAGTGGCCTAGCCTAACTTAAGCAGCTAGCTAGTAGAACACTGGACACACACTGGTAATTATGTGGAGTGGTAGTTGCCAGGTTATTGGAAATTTACATTTCAAATTTAGCGAAATGGTGTATGTCTTATATTTTAAATTCATTTCTAAGGAAACATTAACATTTTTTCTATTATTAAGTGTAATAAAGGCTAAAAGCCACTGCTTAATTTTATATTAAAATAAGTTATTAGCTTTCAAATAAAAAAAAGTTTAAAGTCAAAAAGGACCCTAACATACTTATATATGGCAACTTGTACTTGTGGCGATTTGGATGGCTGTGCGGTTTAGGCAGGGGCGCTGCAACCTGCAGCCATAACATCGGCGCTAGTTTGAAATACACATAAAAATAATAAAAAATAATCAAAATAAATAATAATAATAATTAATAGATAATTGTTTATATTTTCATATTTAAATCAACCCATGCATAAAATGTTTACTTTTGCGGGGTGTTTTTGCTGTGTTTGAATAAATGCTGTTTGTTAATTTTCTTTGAAATTTGGGGCTGCCAAATCTGTAGGAACCATATTCTCCTTCGTTTCGCCAGCTGCCTTTTTTTGAGGAAATAAATAAATATATTATTATGTTCTGATTCATGTTTCAGGGAAGAAATGGCCTCGGCTCCATCTTTGTGTGGGCATCAGGCAATGGTGGTCGATCACATGATAGCTGCAGCTGCGATGGCTATACGAACACTGTTTACACACTGTCAATTAGTAGTGTATCAGAAAAAGGGACAGTGCCATGGTACTCGGAAAAATGTGCTTCGACTCTCGCCACAACATACAGTAGTGGTAGCGGAGCAGAAAAAGAAGTGGTTTGTACTTTTTTGCGTGTATATGTATTTTTTTTTTAGAATATGTCATGATTTTTCTCTTCCTCTTCCTCTTCTAATGTACATTATATTTATTTATATGCAGAGTTGTTATTTATTATTAATTTTTTTCTATAATTGTATAAAACAAAATAGTGCTTGAAGCCTCAAGTAACTGTAGTACAGTTTACATGCATGTGAAATATTTATGAATTTATATGTATCAATTTATGTACAATTGTAGATTACAACAGATCTGAATAAAAAATGCACAGAGCAGCACAGTGGAACATCGGCATCAGCCCCACTAGCAGCAGGTATCTGTGCCCTGGCATTGGAAGCAAAGTAAGTGATCTTACATGCCTAGCAACAATTAAAAAATGATATTTACCTGTACTTGCTTTTTTTCTGTGACTTTGAATATTTTAATAATATTTCTTTCTGCTTATAATTACCATATCAATCATCAATCTTTCATTTATACCATGTTGCATTAACAACAATAAAATTGTATCGTAAAATTGCTGCATTATAAATGTATTAATATTACTATTATTATTGTTATTATTACAGTAAATTATTATTGCTAATGTATTATTATTATTGTCTTGTATTTGCAACAAATAATCTGGAAAGTCTGGAATTTTTTTTTTCTTGAAATTATTTTCAAAAATATATAACAAATACAGTATATACATAAAAGATAGTTTCAACAATAATTTATGATTTTATCTTTCACCTCTATTTACAAAATGTTTTTGTAGCTCTAAACTTACATGGCGTGACTTGCAGCATATTATTGTGATGACCTCGAGGTCAGATGGCCTCCAAGCAGATGACTGGGCTACTAATGGTGCTGGCTACAAAGGTGAATGTAATATTAATTTGAAATATTCTACTTGTCTTGTAATTCTAGACATAATCTATAAATTCCCCACATAAAATTTTGTTATGATTTAATATTACTATACAATCGATAGGCTAGATACCAGCAAAATGGTGCATTTATGAGTTATGTGCTCGCATCCATTACTTATTAGCAGTATGAAAAGATATCAGTATGTGATACAATTACAGGACTCATTTTTTGGGGTTTAACTTTATGCTTTGAAGAGAATTGTCACAGAATTCTATTTTTCTACAATAAGCAACTTTCACTCATTGTTTGCAAATACTACCTACCGCACATTAAAACTCTACACAACACTACTAATTTGGATTATGTGATCAGCTGATTAACCGTAAAAGTCCAAAGTATCTTCTGGTAACGGAATTGTGTATTTCACTTAGTTCATCTCAGTATGATACAAATATAATATTTGTAGTTTAAACACTAGCCTAGATAGAGCTTATTGGTACCAGAGATAACGCTAATAAAACATAACATAGGTAGGCAAGCCTATTTGTGCTGCGCAAATGTTAACCCTAGAATAGTATGTTGAATGAATAAATTTATTTCGAAAATCAAATCACATAAAAACAAGAACAAGAAAATTTCAAACTAGACTTACTATGTCTGTACAACTAAACATTGGGCTTTTCCTCAATTGCCATATTCAAAAATGATGTTGAAATGGAAAAACACACAAAAACAAAAATACTAAATACTACTAAAGAAAATTATGAAGTAAAAAAAAAACCATGACAACCAACTTCATGACTAACACAACATTAGTGAGACTCAAACTATAGCTGCAATAATAATAGCAAGGGTGATATGGAAACACATAACCATTGCGTGCTATATGAGCTAACCCTGTGTAGGTCAGTGCATTTGTAGTTCCAGTAATTCAGTGATTGAAAGCTAAAATTATTTATGCATATCAGGTTAATTTTGTGTTTAACCTAGCTGCAGTTGATTTAAACACTTTAGAAAACGTAAATTGCATTAATTATATAATTTAATCAACTGTCCAATAAAATTATTTAAATGGTCCTTATATCAACACACTACTCCAGATTGTCACCAAAATTTAATAATTTCTTCAAGTTTTATTTTGAGTCAGTTTTTGAGATATTTAGGTCTGGGACGTTCCACTTAAAATGACCCCAAACTTCACACCTAAATCTGTATCGTCACCAAAGTTTAATAATTTCTTTCTTGTAACTTTCCCGAAAGTTTCATGCAGATCACTTTATCTGTTTTTGAAACATCTGGTTTTCGACGTTTTCCTATGAATGGTCCTCATATCCACACACTACTTCAAATCGTCACAAAAATTTAATCATTTCTTTACTAGACCTGGACAAACTATTATAGAAAGTTTCATTTAGACCCAATGATATGTTTTTAGAGATATGTAGGTCCAAAAAACATATCTCTAAAAACATATAAATGGGTGTAAATGAAGTGTTTTTAGAGATACAGTATGTAGGTCTGGACGTCAGAAATTAAAATGACGCTCACGTTTACACCCTAAATTAGATTGTCACCAACACATAATAATTTCTTCCTTGTAACTTGGTTAAACTTTCCTGAAAATTTCATTCAGATCAGTTGACCCATTTTTGAAATATCTGGTGTACAGTGTTTGCCTTTAAATCCCTTTAATTGGTTCTCACATCCGCACCCCACTCCAGATTGACACTAGATATTAGGAGGCACATCCTTGATATATGGTTTATGCTTCGACATAATATGGAAAAGATCCAAGTATGGAAAGGGACAAAAGTGCCGGGCGGAAAAACCCAGTGCAAAAGATAAGAAAATCGATATAGAAGAAAAGAGGAAAAACAAATCAGAACAAAAACATTGACTTTTCCAGCTAAAGCTGGGAAAAACCAAATATACACAATGATAGCAAAATTCCAAGGATACGTGTGCCTAGTTTTCTCTTTTTACAATATGCAGTTAAATTTCAAGAATATACTGTTATGATAATAATTGTGAATTAACTGAAATCATGCAATACAAAAATCTGTTCTTGTAATATTATGTTACACTGATGGATGATTTTGTAAACAACAAATAATAAACTCCATTGCAAGACTCCTCCAAGCTTTTAAACAAATTAGCGGTTGCCAGTTGTAAAAAAAGCAAATTCTAATTCTCTTAAATCCATAAGTTAAAAATATAACATATATTGTAGGCCTAGATACAAGCCAGGTTTTTCTCCCAAGGGCTAATTTATATTAATTGGACCTTTGCCTAGACCTAGCTCAGTGGTACAGTTGTCCAATGAATATATCGTAAAGGTGGCTCCAGGGGAAGAGGTCCAATGTCCCTAACAAGAATGTAAGTGGGCATAATAGAGCATTGCTCAAAATCTCTCAGAAGTGGTCCACCATGTAAAATGTAAAAAAATACATATAATTTTGATATTTTTGTTTTAATTCTAAATAATAATTTGTTTTTGGTTTATAGTGAGTCATGCATATGGCTTTGGTTTAATGGACGCTGGGGCGATGGTTGCAATGGCAGAGCGATGGAACATAGTTCCTCAGCAACATATCTGCACAGAAGAAGCAGTTACAAATTCAAGGTACACCGGCAATAATAATAAAGTTAAAGTAACTGTTATTGCTATTTAAATTATAACTCTTTGGTTACCATTTATTTTGTCCATTTCTGTAGGACAATCCCATCAACTGGATCGTTGATTCTAAAGTACAATACAACTGGATGCATGGATTCAGCTAACTCTGTACGTTACTTGGAACATGTCCAGGCCAGGTTGTCTGTGAACTTCAACATCCGCGGTGATCTTGTAATCTTCTTGACATCTCCAATGGGAACGAGGTCAAATCTTCTGACAAAACGGATCAAGGACTTCTCTGACAAGGGGTTCAGTAATTGGGATTTCATGACCACGCACAACTGGGGAGAAGATCCTCGTGGAGTCTGGACATTGGAGATAAAAAATGTTGGCAAACAGGCTAATTATGGTGAGCTCTGAATTTTGTGGTTTTTTTAGTCATATAACAGCGCTTTATTTTTTTTTTAAACTTTTAAATTTTATGATTTCATCTGTGAGGCATATCTAAATCCCTGATTTTGCCATATCAGGGAGGCCATGCAGATAAACTTTTTATTTTGATATAAAATGCATTAAAAAATTAAAATTTCGATGTTTTAAAGCCAAAAATTATCTGAAGACATTTGTAAATTTAGGGAGGAATTGCGCACAGCAAACAACAATAAAAAAATTGAGGTGCTCATTTATGATTCTTAAAGTCTTGTCCAATGATCACAAAATTTATGTCTCTTGTGTATACAGTTTAAAGGTTTCAATTTGTGTTACCATATTAAACATATTCAATATCTAGTCATCCAAAGGATTCAATCCAATCTTTGACTTTAAGGCACATTTTACAAAGTCTCAATGTGCCATTGTGATGATGGCTTTGAGAATTTGTGCTTTAGCGTACTGTTCGTCAAACTCAACTCAATACTGATAAACAGTGTGTAGACTTTGTCAAGAGAATTTATTAACTAGGGGAAGAAAGAAGAAATATGAATTATTTGTATTTTTATTATTTGTTACATAAAGGGATGGGGATGGGAATGAAAATCCTTTGAGTGTACTTCGGTGTTGGGTGTGAATGATATAGATTATATTTGTTGTATAATGATAGTCAGCTTTATGGTCTGTGTGTTTACCCACATGAAATTTAAGCACCTCTTATCATTTTTACAGTAATGTTCACTCACCTTGTTTACTTTTAGTGTTTATTATTGAACATAGCTTACTTCAAGTGGAAAGATTCGCACTTTGCCACACATCCTGCACATGAGATCATGTGTTTAAGCCATGCACAATGTTTTCTCATATTAAAGTAAATCTCCACTTACATTGTAGAACCACTAAGTTTAATTATGGCACCAATGATCAGATGGTCATTTTTCTGACATTTCTCTAGTTTCTTTGGCCATTTGTCAAAACATGTTTATATAAAATACATTATTTTTTAGTTTTATCCTGTCTTGTCCTTGGAATTGGGTGAACATACGGCTTCGGCCGTGTATAATCATTCTTGTCCAACCAATTTCAAGCTGAATTACTAATTTTACTCTATTCATTTCAAAGTATGTACTCTTCCAGATTATCTACCACACCATGATCTATTTCCTGTTATTTCCTGTTTATTACCCTTTCTGAAGATAGATTGTTGAGTTTGCTTGTAGTATTTTAAAGACAAAGCTAGTTCCTTTGATGTGGATAATTGCTTTATGATTTCAACTTTATTGTGGATATTTATGATGTGGAAAATTGATGGCTAGTTATGAACTATTAATTCAGTATTTTGGTTGGTTTAGGTGTCGGTCTGAATTTTCTTATAGATTTCCAGTTGCAATAATTTTTTATCTTAATTGTAAATGTAGATTATTTATGTGTTTAGTGGGTTTGTGATGTTGTTTTGTAATGTTTTTTCTCCCCTTTTCTTCGTATTTCGTATTTCGTAAGCCAAATTCCAGTCCTTATTTTACTACCATATTACTTTTTGGTTTACTAAAGGTATTAGAAATATGATCTGTTAGCTGTCCGTTAATGTCAATCATTCTTTCTATTATCTATTGTTTAACCATAGAATTGAAATATCGTAGACAGTAGTAAATAGTTACACATTTTAAAATGCTATTATTTCCTTAGTAACTTTCTGTTAAAAAATCTTGCATTTTAGTATTTTTTATTTTCTTATAGCGCTATACTGTGAATTTTGCATAACACTTGAATATAATTTTTTTTCTTGATCACCTTGTTGTTTTGAGAGCATGCTTTGTTGTTTTCCTTGTCTGTCCTAGGTTCTGTTCAGGAAAGCACTTTGCTTCTCTATGGCACCCAATTGGACTCGCGTCTTGATAGAGTTGGCAACCGAACGTGTGACGAGCCATACAATTTGGTTGTCTCGCTGCATAACTCCACCCACTTAATGAATGAATGCAAGAGCAACGGAGGATGTATTATTAGTCAGAATTTTTCTTATATCATACTTTTTTCTATGCTTTTTGGTATAGCATATAATATTCTTCTACAGAATTTTGGTTATTTCTATGTGCTATACTAGTGTAGGATTAACTAATTAAATTAAATAGGAAAAAAATAGGTCTTTCATGGTGTACAAGCTGGATACCATAGTATGGAATACTATATTATAGGTGTGGAATAGCTTGCCTATCTTTGTTCGTGAGTCTCCTTCTGTTGAGATATTTAAAAATCGTCTCAAGACTCATCTCTTTAGTTTATTTTAATTTGCAAATTTCTAGCGCATAGAGACCTATGTATTTTGCGCTTTACAAATCCAAATTATTATTATTATTATTATATACTGTACTTTAAGAGCAGTTATGTTTGCTTTATGATTTCTTTTGATATATTTATTCATAATTTTTTATTTCCCTTTTTATTTAATGTTTAATGTATTGTTTCTTAATTTTGTGGTATACAAGCTGGAATACTATATACTTTAAGAGTAGTTATAGTTACCTTGCACTTTGAATTCACTCTATCGGTACCTTAGAAATTTTAATTGATTTAGATATTTTTTTTTTTAAGTTTTAAATATTTTTATAGTTATCCAAAATTAGTATATTTAAAATGATCTTGCTTTCTGATTGCTTTTGATATAGTTGTCCATAATTTTTAATTTCTGTTTTACTTAATGTATTATTATGATGTGAGTTTGCTTCAGGAAAATATCACTCCTATAATTAATGTATTGTTTCTTAAGTAGAGTGCTTCCTAATATCAGCCTAGCTGGAAGGGTACTATAACAATATTTGAAATTAAAAAATTTTGCATATTATTTAGAAATTACAAGATTTATAAAATACCTAAATAATATTGCTCAGTATATACATTCCATTAAGATATTTTATTATATGATATTTTTTATTGTCAAAACTATTTTTTAAAATCAATACTTTTATAATGATATTTATTTTAAAAATTATTATTCAGTTATTAATGATGTTTGAAGTTGAATGGTTTATAATTTTATTATTAATTAAAGAAACAAAAAAACAATTTTAAAGGCAGACTGTTCTATCCCAAATTTATTTTTATCAAGTACTATACAAAGCAATATATTTTATATAACAATTTTAGTAAAATTCCAAGGGGCGATGTGTACGGTGGTGGCGCCAGGATTTGCTGATGTGTGGTTGGGGGGGGGGGGTCTGAGGTCCCCGACGAAGGGTCTGAGGTCCATGACGAAAAAAAGTGGGCGTGGTCAGACATCGCTCAAAATCTCTTGAAAGTGATCCAGGGGGTGAAGCCCCTGAAAAATAACACAATTTTGGGGTTTCAAAGGTTTATTTAATTAATTTTGGAGTCTACAGATTCTCCCCCCCCCCCCCTGTCACCACCCTGAATATATAAACAAATTAAACTAAAAATTGCCACATTAAACTGTATTTTTCCTAATTTTTTGTAATATATGCAAATAATATTAATTGTGTATTTCAATGTACTGAAAAATGTATTTTTATGCTGTCCTAAGATTTTGTATAATTTCTATGAATGTACAGGTTTTCATATTTTCAGAGCTGCATAGTACAACTTCAGAAATATTGGAAATTATAACTTTGTAGGCTATATGAAATAATTTTAATTCATGTTGTTTAGTAATTTCTCAGTGGTTTACGTTTGTGTGTCAATAATGTTGGGACCTCTCATTGAGTCATATAGACTGTAGCTTCTTAAGAAAACCCATTTTTATTGAGGCAAATAAAATGAATAAAAATGAAATAAGGGTTCTGAAGGCGAATTTTAGGAGGCGCAATTTTTGAATCTCAAGGTCAATTTACTTGGAGCAATTAGCCAAATTTAAATGTTTCACTTCCAAATATAAGCTTTTGCTCGAGCAATGGACTTTCTGCTATTCCCGCCACTTGAATATTGTGTCTAAAGTTTCACTAAACAATAGAGAAAATATATGTATTCATGTGCGTTTGTGGGACAACACTTGTGTTTGTGGCACATGCGTGTATTCCTGGCCTTGTTCTGATTGGTCAGTTGTTAAGTTTGGTTGACACTCCAGAAAGGTCCAATGCAAAGGGCCGGATTTAGTGGTCGTCGGGTTGGCCCCAGCCCCCCCTCCCTTTGGAAAGTAAAAAAAAAGGGGAAAAAAGAAAGAAAGAAAAAGAAAAAAATTGATCGCCTGAAACGCCTCTGAGGTTATTTTCAGGTGTCTAGAAACATATTTCGCGGGAATTCCCCCGGACCCCCTAGGGTAGTGTTGTCTCGATCAGCCCCATTTTCGTACCCTCCCCCCCTTTTAGACATCTCTGGATCTGCCCCTGATTGTGGCACAGTGATGTTCTTCCTTTGAAGTGAGATGCCTCAGGAAGAAGATGCCTACAGTAGTTCTAAAGTCTTGGTATTAGGAGATAACTAGCTGTTTGTAAAAATTGAAAGTCTAGTAGAGTAAATATTTCTCTGGTATCTGGCTGCCAAATATTGATGAGTGAAATGATTTGAAATAATTTGTGCATTTTGTAATCTATAAAATTTTCATAAGCTGTGAAATTTTACATTGGTTTCTGATACTGTTTAACAATGGCTTCTAATTGTGTTATACGAAGATACTTCCGCTGCTGCTATAGAGGGTGGCTTATGGAAAATTTTATGAATGAAAGAAATATATGTTTTTTTCAAACATGACTGTCATTTCTTTTTTGTATTAAAGTTTGAATAAATTAATCATTATGAAGACTTTCAAATTCTGATTTATTTTGTAATACAGCGAATTAATTTGACAGTTTACTTTAAATTATTGGCATTATGTTATTGATGGTATATCATAGTAATATAGTTACTTGGACCAAATTAGTAAATTGATTTTGAATATGGTGCTTGTGTTTCTACTACAAATTTAATCAAAGATTCCTGTAAAATGCAGATACGATGTGGCAGATGTAAGTGAGTGACAGCTCAAAACATCAATATAACTGCTTTTTTTTGTAAGTGGAAGCAGTTTGGTGCAGTGGAATGGTTTGGTTTCCCAACTGCCCAACCACAAGATCAGGGTTTCAATCCTTCGCTGGGCATTTTGCTTGTGTCCTTGAGCAAGGCACTTTATGTACATTGCTATAGTCTACCCAGCTGTATCAATGGGTACCAGCATATTGCTGGGAGTAACCTGTGGTGGACCAGCGTCCCACCAAGAGAGTGAGAGTATCACACTGTCATCCGCTTCACGCTACAGAAACGGGATAAGCTGCAACCCTATGAGCCCTGTGGCTCAGCAAGGATTTACTTTGGTTTTGTAAAATAGTCAAACCTCATAATTAAAATATAAATTTGAATAAATATATTTATTAAACAATTTTTATAAACATAATTTGTGTTACCAAAATTTGATTTTTTTAAAAAATCTAATAGGTACGCTGACTCATTGGTCTCTCATACTCTTCGGTACTACATCTCATCCACTAGAGGCTCACGTTGGTCCCAAGGAATGTTCCAGTGGCTACTACCTGTCCGTGACAGCCTCCGAAAACGGAACCCTTGTGAACAGTTGTACACAATGTCACCACTCATGTCAGAGTTGCTTTGGTGTCGGCAGCTCCGACTGCATCGAGTGTAATGTCAACTACAACAAACGTGACACGTATTGCGTGTATGTCTTCTTCTCAACGGATCATCTATTTGGTGAATCTTTGGTTGCACTCGTTGTTATCGTAATCTTCATGTCCATTGTACTCATGTGTTGCTTTCAAGCATTTTTCAGAGGACATTGCTGCAAGAGAAAGCTGGTTAGTGCAGAAGTTGCAATGCAGAAAAGTAAACTCCTTGAAGCAGATGAATGGGAAACAGGTCTGGATATGAATGATGTTATTTACGAAGACCAAGACCAGAATTCGGAACCAGCACGATAGTGTAAAAAAAACTCTTAAGAATGAGATGCAAACCATGGTGATTTTAAGAACTTCATTTGTTCATTTTCAGAAACATTTGACTTGGTAAGATTGTCAGTGTAGAATGTTATTCCTGAAGATGAACGAATGAAATTGAAATATAGCATCATAAAGGCTTAAATTTTTGTTTCTGTTTTGAGCTTTGTCCAATTCTTACATAAGAGTTTAGAGACAATTACGATGGCGTGTTTGCGTCAGAAATAAAATATTGCAAATTGATGTTTGCCCTACCTGACATGTTATAGTACTGAATACTCTGTGCTTTCCCAAATGTGTGCTAAAAAATGAATCTCGCAAGTGATTTCGGTGGGAATCGAACCCATGACCTCCAGATAGACAGCCTGGCATTTTAACCACTCGACCAACAAGATTGCTCTTGGTGGCTTTTGATTAATCGATCCCCAACTAGCAGCGGGTACTGCAATGCTATTACGATGACGTGTTTGTGTCAGGAGAAATATTAGGAATCAATGTTTGCCCTACACTGCAACTGCCATGGGGGCCAGCCAAAGTTTCTAATTTCAAATATTTGAAAATTGGACAAAATAGGAACATTTTTAAAATCCAAACTGCCAAATTTTATGTGAAGGATACAGGTACCTGTGATTTGCCGATATATGGGTATGAAATGACATGATGCCCATTATGGATGTGATATGACATCATCATTCCCATATATGGGCAGTTCACACAAGTTTGTTAAAAAATCTTGGTAGTAGTGTGGTTAGAGCTTCATGACAGCACATTTTATATTCATTTTTGGTGAAAACTGTCTTTCAAGTCTTTCAATTTTTGTATGGAAAAATAGTTGGTAAATTTTGTACTACAAATTGTGTCATGTGTGCAGTAGCTAAAATAATGCTCTTGAAAATGTGTATATTTCAAATAAAAGTATTTCAAATATGTGCACGAAATGGGAGCATTTGATTGTGCTGTAACTGTAAGATTTATTACATAATGCCGTCACATGCAGTCATCTGTACAAAGGAGAATGTTGATTCCTTTTTGTTTTCTGAATGTTAGGATTTGGATTGGCCCGAATCTATGTTGTGCAGGAACGCACAAAAGTTCACAAATATCAGTGTACAGCTATACCTAAAATTACTTTAAAATTTCAACACAAATAAATACATATCATTTATATACAGAAATGAGTTATACTCTAAATGATATACAACATCTATATTATTATAATGAAATTCGGTTTTGGTTTTGTGTATGACTATATGAATGAGAGGTGATCATAAACTAAACCAGTACAGTATATGGAAATTCACTTTTAGTTCCGTATATATGACTATAGGAATGAGAGACGATCATAAACTAAACCAGTACAGTGTATGGAAATTCACTTTTGGTTTTGTATATGACTATAGGAATGAAAGACGTCATAAACTAAACCAGTACAGTATAAGGATATTTACTTTTGGTTTTGTATATGATTATTGGAATGAGAGATGATCGTATACCAAACCAGTAGAGTTTAAGGAAATTTACTTTTGTTTTGTATATGACGATAGGAATGAGAGAAAATCATATACAAAACCAGTACAGTATAAGGAAATTTAGTTTTGGTTTTGTATATGACTACAGGAATGAGAGACGATCATAAACGAAACTAGAACAGTATAAGTAAATTTACTTTTGTTTTGAATATGACTATAGAATTGAGAGAAAATCATTTACAAAACCTGTACAGTATAAGGAAATTCACTTTTGGTTTTGTATATGAGTATAGGAATGAGAGACGATCATAAACTAAACCAGTACAGTATAAGTAAATTTACTTTTGTATATGACTATAAAAATGAGAGAAAATCATATACAAAACCAGTACAGTATAAGGAAATGTACTTTTGGTTTTGTATATGACTGTACGAATGAGAGATGATCATAAACTAAACCAGTACAGAATAAGTAAATTTACTTTTGGTTTTGTATATGAAAATCATATACAAAACCAGTACAGTATACGGAATTTCACTTTTGGTTTTGTATATGATTATAGGAATCAGAAATTATCATATACCCAACCAGTACAGTATAAGGAATTTCACGTTTGGTTGTGTATAAGACTATAGGAATGAGAAATGATCATATAAAACTGGTACAGTATAAGGAAATTTACTTTTGGTTTTGTATATGATTATAGGAATGAGATGATCATATACAAAACCAACAACATAAACTTTATATTCCTTCAGCACCCCACCCCACAGAAAAAAAAACCCCTGTAATCATATTTTTCCCAATATTTAATGCACTACTAGAAATTTTGCATATTTTATATTTTATTTACAGCATTTGCACCATCAAGCACAAACATATTTTACTAATAAAGTCTGTACAGTATATTAATTATTGAAAAGTATAGTGTAAAATAATTGTTTACAGTGTTATCTACTTTTTAATAATGTTTGATCATAATATTAGCCTAATATCTGTACTACTGTTATTGTCTAGTCTGGTTACATTATTATTAGTGGTTCTTTGTAAATGTAACTGTGAAAATGTAATGAATAATCTACTAATTATTTTGTAATCATTTGTAGTCGTACCTCTCTTGCAGTTTAATGGGTTAGAATGTTGGTTGCATCAGTAAATTATTTTTTTAGACAACAGTGGTTTCTTGTTCATCCAACAGGAGAAATTTAATCTTGACACACAGTAGCACCACCACTGACTAGGCCTATTCATTTTTACTATTATTTTTGATGTATGATTATTTATATAATACATAACACTTTTTAAAAAATTGTGAAACTACTGTTTTTGGGACAGTTATTAACAGGAGGTAAATATAGTAGTGAATGCTGACTAAAAGAGGATCATTGTGTTTTTAATTGGATATATACTGTATTTTTGAATTATTTAAACTATATTGTAATTCATTTACATTCAATTTTACTTGCATTATTTATGGAGTATATTCTATAAAACCTGTATTCGTTTACAGTTGTATGTTTTAATTAATAAAATTATAAAAATGGCAATACTGTACAGTAGTGTGAAGTCTATAAAAAGTTTCAATTAACAGCTTTCACTAAAGGGTGCAATTTAATAAATGCAGTTAAAAATTAAAATGAGACAGAGATGTGCTGTATTATATACTCCTTTTACACTGCAAGCAAAACTCCGGACACAACTCGGGATTTTACAATACCCGGTCTAGAAATTCCCGAGTTGTGGTTAGTGTAAACGGCAAAAAATACTACCCGGGTTGCCAAACGTCCCAGGTTCGATGTGCGGGACGCAATTGGCGTTGGACTAAATCCTCTAAAATTTTTGTAAGCGCCGCGGAGCTTATTCGAGCATTTACAGTACAGTAAATGAAACCAGTTAAAATGTATGCTTTGGCATAGCTTTCTGATAACGTTCAAATTGTGAATTTTAAGTCCTGTACGTATTTATGGTTCTACAGAATAACGTTTACAACACCTAACTGTAACGTTATTATAACCTAATACAGTATTGAATAGCTGGGTTATGCTACATCCGAATAACAGAACAAGCACATTTTTGAACATTTCATTTAATATAAATAGGTAAAATCACCATCTTGTTAGACTGTTTATCTGTAAATATCTGAATATTTATCCATTATAGTCCAGGATATTACATTGCTGTGTCCTACGCGCAGCAATGTAATTTACCAGATTGAAGATTTTTTTCTGCAAAAGAAACATTCCATGTGATTCTGTATACATTTTCAACACACAATTTTTAACTGGACTTGTGGATGGGGATGGTTAAGTGAGAGTTCAATGATTAAGTGAGGAGTTAGCTGGTAAAATAAGGTGCTATTAGGCGACGTCAACTATTTTAGCGTAATATTTGAATTTGGAGGCGCGAGTCACTGGCTGTGATCGAAATGTAGAAAGGCGAATTGAACAAAATAACCATTGGAATAATTTAAAGAAATTGAGTTTAATTGAAATATTTATTATTATGCTGACTTTCATCTCACATTGGAGTACAGTACTGGTTTGTCAAGACGGTGTACGGTAAGAATGGCCCCGGAAAAAATGGCCCAGGAAATAATGGCCCCGGAAAAAATGGCCCCGGTAAAAATGGCCAAGTAGGTAAAAATGGCCCCCAATATAAAATTCTGTATAAAAACTGCTTTTTTTTTGCATTTTTGAACTGAAATAATTCAATTTTTATAAAGAATCTAACTAACATCAAGTAAATTCATGATGAATAAAAAGAGTAGCCGCGTTAGTCTTATGTACAACAAGATAAAATG